AAAGATGCACGCGAAAACCGATTCCGAGGTGACAAGCCTCGCGGCTTCGTCTCCGACCAGATCTCCTCGTCGGCCTGTTTACTACGTCCAATCGCCGTCACGTGATTCTCACGATGGAGAGAAAACGGCAACATCGTTTCATTCAACTCCGGTGCTTAGTCCGATGGGATCTCCACCTCATTCTCACTCTTCCATGGGTCGTCACTCTCGAGAATCTTCCTCTAGCCGATTCTCCGGCTCTCTGAAGCCTGGATCTCGGAAAGTCAACCCTAATGACGGAGTGAAACGGAAAGGACACGGCGGAGAGAAACAGTGGAAAGAGTGTGCGGTGATTGAGGAAGAAGGTTTGCTTGATGATGGTGAGAGAGACAGTGGTGTGCCTCGTCGATGCTATGTCTTAGCTTTCATTGTTGGATTCTTCATTCTTTTTGGTTTCTTCTCTCTTATTCTCTATGGAGCTGCTAAACCTCAGAAACCTAAGATCACTATCAAGGTTAGATTCAAGATCGTGCCTCTAATAGCAGTAGATCTGATTGGAGAACTGATTGAATCTTGCTTGAATCCGATCGTAATCTCAAAATTTGTTAGTCAGATCTGAAATTGTTGAATCTAAGTAATCGTTTCGATCTCTTTCCAATTCGAGTTGTTGTATATGTAATTGTGTGTGTTGGATCAAAATTGCAGACTATAACATTCGAGACACTCAAGGTCCAAGCTGGTCAAGATGCTGGTGGTGTTGGAACAGACATGATCACGATGAATGCGACTCTGAGAATGTTGTATCGAAACACCGGAACTTTCTTTGGTGTTCATGTAACTTCAACTCCTATTGATCTCAGTTTCTCTCAGCTCAAAATTGGATCCGGATCCGTAAGTTTCTGATACAAATTCACAAAACCAAATTGACAATGAATAGAGAAAGCTCGTATCTTTAGTGTTGGTTTCTTCACATTTTTGTTACGATATGTGATTCCTGATGGATTTCTTGTTGTGGGTTTTTTTTATTATGATTTGTGTAGATTGAGAAATTTTATCAGTCAAGGAAGAGTCAGAGAACGGTGGTGGTGCATGTGACCGGAGAGAAGATTCCTTTATATGGAAGTGGTTCGAGTTTAGTTCCACCACCGCCTCCAGCTCCACTTCCCAAACCCAAGAAGAAGAAAGGAGCTCCCGTGGTTATTCCTGAGCCACCGGCACCTCCTCCACCGGTGCCAATGAAGCTCAGCTTCGTGGTCCGGTCACGAGCTTACGTGTTGGGGAAGTTAGTGCAACCAAAGTTCTACAAGAGAATCGATTGTAGTATCAACTTCGAACACAAGAACCTCAATAAGCATATACTCATCACCAAGAATTGCACCGTCACTACAGTTTGAAGGGGAAAAAAATAAAGAAAAATAGAAAGTAACCGCAAAAACGATGTCGTATAGAGGTAACGTGATTTACAGCTCAACGGGCAGCATTTTGGGTTGTCGGGGCAGTGAGTGTAAGGTGCCCGAAATAGAGAGAATCAATCCGTCGGTGGCTTTTTTAATTTACTTGTGAGTGGGTATTTGTCTGTGGAAGACTAATATACTTATAATTTTATAATTATGTTGTACCGTCACACTGAACAAGAGGAATCTCA